TGGTTTGTAAAAATTAATGGTGTCTGTCTTAGAATAAAACACTGTAAATTTAAAGAATCCCAAGGAGCTTTTGATATATCTTCTATAAGCGAGAACCTCAAACTTGTAGGATTGTCTGCAACTTATAAATGTCCATGGGAAGAGAGATTACAGAAGTTATCAAGATAGAACATTGTTCTACAATCTATAAACACACGGGAATGCTTTTATTGTTTGAGGATTAAATGAAATAAAACATGATATAAAGAGCTTAACGCACAGTACCTGATAAGTAATAAAGCATGCAACCATTCACTGCTGTTATTACTATCCATTTGAGTTTAATGGTTATTTTAGTTAATTGATGCTTGTTTGCTTCATTAATTTAACAGACCTGTCAGAATCTTAGCAAGCTAAAATGGAAACCAATTGAAAACTGGGTACTGGTAGACTGATTTTTAGAAATACCTTCTTAGCCGAGTGCGGTGGCCTCCACACCTGTAATCCCAGCACTTTTGGGAGACTGAGGCGGGCAGATCATGAGGTCAGGAGATCCAGACCATCCTGGCTAACATGAAACCCTGTCTCTACTAAAAATACAAAAATTAGCCTGGCATAGGTGGGCGCGTTTAGTCCCAGCTACTCGGAAGGCAGGAAAATGACGTGAACCCAGGAGGAGGTGAAGCTTCCAGCCTGGCGAATAGAGCGAGGACCCTGTCTTAAAAAAAAAACCAAAAAACAACCTTCTGGCTACTTTAAATGATTAATGACTTCTAGAGTATTCAAATTTATTGTTAAATTGGATCTAGGTTTTGAGCTCTACTCTGATTTTTGACAGAAATTACTTGATAAAGTAGTAAAGATATTTTATTGCATGTGTCCAATAAACTGATATTTTTCTGTAATCTAGTTTCTTCATTTTTTTTTTTCTTTTGAAAGCATCTAAGTGCAGTATGATAAATTCTGCCTCCCAAGTAGGCAGCTTTATAAGCTCTGGCTTTTATAAGTAACAAAATTGCAAAATAAAGTTAATCACTAAAGGTAGAAAAGTATTGTGGGTACATGTTTATCTAAATGCTATTTTATCCAGGTTCAAACTCTTGTAATAGGGTTTATCCTACTTGTAAGGAGAATTCTATATTTGAGAATTGTCCTTTTGAAAAGGTGAATTTTATCACATACTAACCTTTTGCTGCCCTGCACATTTTCTGAGATACTTGAAAACATATTTTGACATTTACATGTTTTGCCAGTACCCATTATGTTCCTGCTTTATTAAAGCCATTTTATTCACCTGACAGATTAAGATTAGAATATTTTAAAAGTTGAATTTTGAAAAGAAAAGTTTGTTCCACTGCAGTAGTTCTTAAGAGCTGGTCTTTGTATGACTGCATCTGAGTCACTTATGAAGGCTTTTTAAAATCTAGATTCCTGGGCTGTAATCCTTGGAGATTCTGATGACTTACCATTTTGGCATCCAGTCTTTAGAAATAGTTGCAACAATCCTATTCTGCCCTTTTTCAGTTAATACACACACTTTGTTTCTTCATCTTTATTTTGTAGCAGATGGGTTTGACTTTGCCAGCTCTGACTGATTCCCCGTAGCACTGTATTGAGACTCTTGGTGAAGCCATATTTGAGCTGGACTGGAAGGAGGGAAACATTTTGCCAGGAGTTTCTCCCAAGGGGTGACTGAATGAATTCGTCCTTGTATCATTTGCAGTGTTTATTTGCCAATTTTAATTAGCTATTCTGCTGTTAGACATTTTGTTAACTTCCACTTTTTTACTTAACACAGACCAAATGTTCCACAGCATCAAACGTGGCTTTTTCTAATTTATAATCATTTACTCAGATTGTTGTTTTTAAAATGGGTTTACTAGATTCAAGATACTGATATTTTTATAGTTTTTGAGATGTATAGCCAAAATGTTTTCCAAGAGGAGAAATGTGAACAGGCTAGATTAAAACAATTCAAAATGAGTAATAGCGTTAATTGAGGACCACCACCAAGGAAGGGAAATAATGGTTTCCCCATGCCCTTGATACAGGTGGGTGTTAATTCTCTTTAATGTTCACTGAATAAAAGGGAGAGAGCATGTTTATTTTAGCTTTAATTTTTTTTTGAATATTAACAGGGCTATTTATTCTGTTTATATTACTCTTATAGGTTCTTTCACTCATTTACCTGGTCTTACTGATTTGTACATATTCGTCATAATAAAGATAGTAATTTGTCTTTGTCATATCTGGTACAGGTGTTTTCCTGTAACTTCTTTGCCTTATTTTCTATAGTCTCCTGATCTTTTAAAAAATGATTTGATAACCACTTAATTCTTTTTTTTTACTGTTGTTTATATATATTTGCTGTAATTGAACAGGGGTCAAAAAATATTTTCAGAGTACTAACCAGTTACCTCCAGCCCACTTTAAACGTTCAGTCCCCCCTACCTTTTGAGCTGCCTCTTTTTAAAAATATATCTACTTACTATTTGTACTGTTCTATTCTTGGGCTATATATTATATATTGTTTTAATTAATGGCTAATAAGGCTGATATTTCCACCAAGCCCCCTCCCACTCAGAATTGTGTGGTAATCAGATTCATGTTTTCTTCCATACTTCAGATTTGTTCAAAAATTCCCTAGGGATTTTCACTCAATTCTGTTAAATCAGTAAAATATAAAAATGGCTTTCTTCATACTGTAAAATTTTTTTTTTTTTTTTTTTTTGAGATGGAGTCTTGTTCTGTGGGCCAGGCTGGAGTGCAGTGGTGCCATCTCCGCTCACTGCAAGCTCCGCCTCCCGGGTTCACACCATTCTCCTGCCTCAGCCTCCCGAGTAGCTGGGACTACAGGTGCCGCCCACCACGCCCAGCTAATTTTTTGTATTTTTAGTAGAGACGGGGTTTCACCGTGCTAGCCAGGATGGTCTCGATCTCCTGACCTCGTGATCCGCTCGCCTTGGCCTCCCAAAGTGCTGGGATTGCAGGCCTGAGCCACCGCGCCTGGCCTGTAAAATTCTTTTTAGAAGGGAAATTTTACTGCTGTATGTTTTTTACCATTTTTTTCCCCTGCTTTAAATTTGGCTTACTATGTATTTTAAAAGAAAACTTTACCTTTTCCATTTAATTTGATGTGTTTATATGCTTTCCTTAATGAATTGTTTCCTTTCCTCACAGAGTGGGTTCAGATGGCTCCAACTCTATTTTCTAAATTTATTCCAAACATTCTCCCTCCGGCGGTGGAATCTGAACTTTCTGAATATGCTGCTCAAGATCAGAAATTTCAAAGAGAACTTATACAGAATGGTTTTACAAGGCAAGTTGTTTTTTTTCTTTAGTGGTCAAATATGTCCATTTCCCTAGGCCAGTTTGGCTTGACATGGGATAAATGGTAAGGTTGAGAATGGGAGGTAACTGGCCAAGAGTCTTGCTGCTGCAAGAAGACATTAATTAGCTCCTTGTCTGTAGAAATGTTGAAGCCGGGTTTTGATTTTGTGGAAGCTGCTCTTCATTACATACATTTTTTTTGTTTTGTGTTTTGTTTTTGAGACGGAGTCTTGCTCTGTTGTCCAGGCTGGAGTGCAGTGGCACAATCTCAGCTTACCGCAACTCCACTCCTGGGTTCAAGCAGTTCTCCTGCCTCAGCCTTCCAAGTAGCTGGGATTACAGGCGTGCGCCACCACGCCTGGCTAATTGTTTTGTATTTTTAGTAGAGATGAGGTTTCACCATGTTGGCCAGGCTGGTTTCGAACTCCTGACCTCAAGTGATCTGCCCACCTCGGCCTCTCAAAGTGCTGGGATTATAGGCATGAGCTGCCAGGCCCAGCCCATACCTTTTGAAGAAGGGATTTCTCACTGGGTGAGCAGTTAGGTGGGCAAGCCCCAAGAGCTCTTTTAACTTTGATTTTCTTGTATTAGTCCTGTGCATATGGAAAAACATTATAGAACTTCTATGATCTGTTATAATGTACTTTTATGGCTAACCTAGCAAAGAGCTTTAAATTCTGTATTTCACACTTCCCCTCTTGCCCTAAATTCTAGTGGTTTCTTCTTAAAAAATAGGGCATCTCTTTATTTGCCTGTCTTGGTTTTGATAATTTTCCTAAAGTTTTTGCACTTCATTATCATGGTCATATCCCAGAAAATCTTGCAGAGTGCATTTTTCAACTAAAATACATTATTGTAAAATTTTTGTGATTCCCTATGAGAAAATAGCCTATATCAGCAAATCATTGAAGGGCACAGTCATATCGTGCATTTTTATAATCCTTACTCTTAGCACTGCTCTGTGTCCTCTCTCATTTGGCTTCCTGATAGGAAGAAAGTTGTGGAAAGGAACACGCTTGAGGTATCTTAGGCATAGTCATGTCTACAAAAAGTAGGTTGAGTGTTGACTCACTTATCTGGCTAGAGCTGGGGCTGGGCATTTTTTCAAAGGGTCTGAGGCCAAACTGAATTTCAGAAAAACAAGCCTTGACTAGGGTCACTGTTATGAAGTCTCAGATTAGGGACAAAAGCAGGTAATTTGTTGGTCCCTGGACTGGTATTTCCGTTTTCTGTCCTGGTAACATCTGTACTGGTGTGGTAGTGGGGGCAGTGAGTAATCCACTGATCATTTACCCCATCATTGACAGCTTAACACTGGAAGGGATCAGTGAAGTTGTGGAGATGGGCCTGGGAGACCTGGGGCTTTCTGTGGCCAGGGGAAGGAAGGGCCAGTGGGAAATGCTGAAATGTAGTTTTTCTCTTTAGTGTCAAGGGATTAGGTATTTCCTCACATTAATTGTAATAAGTTCCAGCAGAAAGAGGGTGGTATTATTTTCATACACAGAATGAGGCCATTTATAAAAAGTATACATTGAGAAGTTTTGCCTCCCACCTGTCTCCCTATGCATTCCACCCCATCAAGTAACCATTTTTATGTTTGTGATTCCTTCATTTTTTAAAATATAAATACAAGCAAACACAATATATGCTCATATTTCTGTTTCTTATACATTCCATCATATGTATAGACTAAAACCTAACCAGTCCCCAGTAGGTGGCCACATGAGTTATTTCTAGTCTTTTGTTATAATGGACAGTGCTGCAGTGAATCACCTTGTATATGCATTATTTTGTACTTGTTACAGGTATATCTGGAGGGTGAATTCTCAGAAGTGGGATGGCTGGGTTAACAATAAATGCAGTTGTAATTTTGATTAATATTGCCAGATTGCCCTCCACAGGGGATTTATGCCATTTTGCATATCCACCAGCAAAGGTGGAAAGTCCCTATTCTTTATGGCCTTGTGTGTACAGTATGTTGTTACACGTTTGTATTTTTGCCAACCTAGTAGGTGAAAAATAATTACTCAGAAGTGGTTTAATTTGCATTTCTTATATGAGTAAGGTTGAGCATATTTTCATATGTTTGCATTTGTTTTTCTGCAAACTACCTGTTTAAAGTTCTTTGCTTGTTTTTCTCTTTCTTAGTCTTGATTTCTAGGAAATCTCTATAGTGAAGACATTGATTCTCTGTCCAAGATATGACATGTTTTTCTCAATTTGTTTTTGCTTATGGTGGTTTTGTTTTGCTATGCAGAAGTCATGCAGAAGTATCTGATTTTCAGGTTTTTTTGGTCATATCTATATTTTTTTTTTTTTTTTTTTTGAGACGGAGTCTCGCTCTGTCCCCCAGGCTAGAGTGCAGTGGCCGGATCTCAGCTCACTGCAAGCTCCGCCTCCCGGGTTTACGCCATTCTCCTGCCTCAGCCTCCCGCATATCTATATTTTGAATTATAGTTAATAGTTTTTCCTTAAATTTTTTTGAGTAGCTAGCCCTACAGGCACACCACCCCCCTTGGCTAACTTTTAATTTTTTGTAGAGACAAGGTCCTCCTATGTTGCCCAGGCTGATCTTGAATTCCTGGGCTCAAGGGTTCCTCTCGCCTCAGCTTCCGAAAGCACTGAGATTACAGGCGTGAGCCACCGTGCCCGGCCAATTTTTTTTTTTAGTTTGTTTTGAGGTGTAGTCTCTGTTGCCCAGGCTGGAGTGCAGTGGCGTGATCTCGGCTCACTGCAACATCTGCTTCCTGGGTTCAAGTGATTCTCCTGCCTCAGCCTCCTGAGTAGCTGGGATTACAGGTTTGCGCCACCACGCCCAGCTAATTTTTGTATTTTTAGTAGAGATGGGGTTTCACCGTATTGGCCAGGCTAGTCTCAAACTCCTGACCTCAAGTGATACACTTGGCCTCCCAAAGTGCTGGGATTACAGGTGTGAGCCACTGCACCTGGCCCAACATTCTTAAATAAATGCAAAATAATCTGAGTATGATGTTTAGGGTTTTTTCTAGGCTTACCATAATTTTGAAGTCTTTATACTTTCATACATTCATGTTTTATTTAAACATTTGCTCTTAATTTAGGATGAGTTTATACCTTTAAAAAAAGACAGCCTTCTGAAAACTTTTTTGTGAAGCAGTACAGGAATATAACTCTTGTGAATTTTGAGCATATTGAGTTTGCCTTCCAGAGCAATGTGTGGAATTGCTTAAACATGCCCATTTTTCTAATCCTAATTTTGGTACTGGAATAAGAGAACAGGGTGCAGGACTGCTTGGTTTATGGTAGCTCTTATGTCAGATTTGCTTGGGATGAGATGAGTAACTGCCTCTGTAAATAACCTCAGGCTGCATTGCCTCTGCACGTGAAGGACTAACATGGCACTATTCAGCCAATGGCCAGTTTGGTTATATTCAGGGAAATGTCTTGGGTTTTTGGTATAAATAGGAATTTTTGTTTCTCAGAATTATTTTATAAAACTTCTGGCTGGATTTAAGTATTAGGCGGTATTCCAAGGGGTGATAAAATGTTTTTACAAACTTAATGGGACTATTTTTATAATTAACACTTTATTATACATGTACTATGAGGATTAAACTCTGCCTCATAAATTATTCTGACAGGTGCTTTGCACAGAGTAAGCCTGCCAAAGTGGACATTCTTGTATCTAATTCCGAGCTTACTCATGCTGACCAGGAAGGATGTGCACATGCCACCTTTGACAGCTCTGGTGGAGAGCCTGCCTCTGCTCTTGTGCATGGACCTTCATGCCTTCTTTGATTAGGAATAATATTTTGGAAGAAGTCGTGTACACTGATGCCCCCCAAAAAGGAGAATATAGTACAGCCTGTCTTAAGAATTCTGTTTCTGCCTCTTCTTATCTGAGAAGTCATTTTATGGTTTATGCCTAACCAACCATGATTCCTGTTCAGTGTTAAGTGATGTAGTGATCCTGAGTAGGTAACAAACAGCTTTAATGTGGATAGCACAGAGTAAGTCTTTGAATTGTTTTAAAATAATGTGAATGTTGTCAAATACATCCTTTTTTGCAGTTAGTGAACAGATTATCATTTGAGCTGGAATTTTTGTGAATTGTAATTGTTAGGTGCATGGAAATATAGGGTAGGCTAGAATTAACATATAAGCTAAAAGCAACAGCTTTTTATCTCTTACCTACCTAATTGAATTGATTGGCAAGGGGTAGAAGTTTGGTATCTGTTGTCAAAGGTAACACTACAGAAGATAACTGCTAGATCTAAGTAACCAAGGTAAGAACATAGGTCTTTTAGCTGAGCCGTTGATGCCGAAATTTGGGCTTTTTTGTTTTGTAGTTAGGGTCTGGTTTATGAGAGAGCATTCTGGACTTAATCTCTTCAGCAGCCTCTTGCATAAATCACATTGATATTCCTTTTCCTGCCTCCAGTTGTTTTCACGTCTGTATTTTTCTCCTGTTTTATTTACATGTTCAGTTATTTAACCTTTGAGGAATGCAAATGAAGGTTGTGTCTGAAAGTCAAGGTTCCAGATATAAAATTCTGTCTTCCTTTTTAATCATTAACTTGTTTCAGAATATTTGGTGAATGCAGCGGTGATGATACTAGTGTAAATAACAATGGAAGACACTTGGCTTTGGCTAGGTGTAGTGTTAACAACAGGTGCTTAAAAAGTGGCCTGAGGGCCGGCCTGTTAGAGCTCCTTTGGCTGTGGAAGCTAGTTTGTGCTGAATGTGGTGCCTAGAGAAAAACCCTTCAGAGGTCATATGGTGTGTTTTCTTTCTGCCAGTCAGTTGAGGCTCCTTACCCAGCTTAGCAAGAGGTTTCTGCCCTGGTCCTAAACATAACCAGAGAAAGTAAATGGGAAACTTTATCTGGAAGATTATTCAAAAGCAGGAAATAAATCACCTTGGTTAGCATGTTAATAATTTGAGACTATAAGTTACTCACTACTTTATCAATTCAACAAATATTTATTGTCTATACTCTTCTAAGCAGTGGAGTGAACAAGACAGGCCAAGTTCCTGTTTTCATGGAACTTATGTTCTGATGTTGTGAGGCAAATAACAAACATGTAAAAAAAATAAATAATATTGAGTAATAAGTCCTATGAGTTGACAGTAAGTAGTAAAGTGCTGATGTGCAAGGGACAGCCAGTGAGCCAGGATGGCTGATGTGTAGTGAACCGAGGCTGAGAGTGGAGGAAAGTGAGGTGGGAGAGTAAGCTGGAGAGTGAGTTGGAATTAATTTTTTTTTTTTTTTTTTTTTTGAGACGGAGTCTCACTTTGTCGCCCAGGCTGGAGTGCAGTGGCCGGATCTCAGCTCACTGCAAGCTCCACCTCCCGGGTTTACGCCATTCTCCTGCCTCAGCCTCCCCAGTAGCTGGAACTACAGGCGCCCGCCACCTCGCCCGGCTAGTTTTTTGTATTTTTTAGTAGAGACGGGGTTTCACCGTGTTCGCCAGGATGGTCTCGATCTCCTGACCTCGTGATCCGCCCGTCTCGGCCTCCCAAAGTGCTGGGATTACAGGCTTGAGCCACCGCGCCCGGCCGGAATTAATTTTTAACTGTAGTGGGAAGCCACTGAAGGGCTTTCATGAGAGGTGTGAACTAGTCTGTCTTCTACATGAGATCACTGGCTCTTGTCTGGGTTGATAAATAAGGCTGGTGTACTTGTGTAGGGAAGAGAAGACTCTGGCTTGGCTTGGGATCATAGCAGTGGAGTTGATGAGGAATGATTGGTTTTGGGACAGAATGCCCCAGAGTGAGGGAAAGAGAGGATGACCAAGGATTTTGGGCTGAGTGATTGAGCTGGCAGATTGAGGGAGGAATGGAGATGGATTGGAGTGAGCATTGTATTCTGGTCATGGTAAACTTGCCAGTGTATGTAAATCATCCAAATGGACATGGTGATGAGGCAGTTGGACCTGCAGATCTCAAGGGTAGAGAGGAAGGCAGAGCTGGAGATGCAGATATGGGAGCCTCTGGCCTGTGGAGAGAGTGTATGATCACCATCCTAGACTAAGAAGAATGCACATGGAGAAGAAAAGATGACCAGCGACAGAGCGCTGGGTAGAGCCAGCAAAGGAGACCTGAAAAGGATGGCAGACAGGGTGAGATAAGGTCAGGAACACGTGCTGTGGCATAAAAGAAAAACCTCGTGTTTCAGGAAGAAATCAACTTACAAATGCTGAGGAAGAAAGGCCAGTAGTGATGATTATTACTCATTACCTAAGCATCTGAGTCATTTCTGTTATTGTCTGAGAAGCTGGAGAGACAAAAAAAATAGGTTTTGTAGGTAGCTTAGGGCCTAGTCAGAACCTCTATTTTAACTCTAAAGTGGAACTAGAACTTCCATAAGTGTTTGAGGATGAGCTGGTTAATACAGGTAAAGGCTCATATTCTTCCATCTGCAGAAAGCATAGTGAGGTATGTCAGGATTCTAAGATGTTTAATATGTATTTTTAAATAGGTTGTTTGGTTAGAACTGAAATGTCTGCTGTACTTTTATTATCAAATATGTTGATCCATTCTTCCTGTTTTGATGTGAAGTCAGTTTTGTTGAGAACCTCTATTTACTTAACTCCAAAGTGAAACTAGAACTTCCATAGGTGTTCGATGATGAGCTGGTTGATACAGGTAAAGGCTCATTTTCTTCCATCTCCAGAAAGCATAGTGAGGTACATCAAGATTCTAAGATGTTTAATATGTATTTTTAAATAGGTTGTTTGGTTAGAACTGAAATGTCTGCTTTTATTTTCAAATGTCAACTTTTATTTTCAAATATGTTGATCCATTCCTCTTGTTTTGATGTGAAGTCAGTTTTGTTGACTGCCTCTTCTTTTCTTATCCCCAGAGGTGACCAGTCCCGGAAGAGAGCTGGGGATGAGTTGGCTTATAGTAAGTAATGATATTCCTTCCCATCTTGATGGTTTTGTGATGTAAAGCAGCCATATTAATGCACTGTGATAACAGTGCATTGAATTTGATGATACCCATGTTGTTCTCATAAGGCACTGCTTGTAATCATGGTGCTTTGCATGCTGTGGCAGCTCCAGCTGGTAGTGATGGTTCTCAGGGAGTTGGCAAGAGGCCACCAAGTTCTTTAGTTTCTACTGGAGTGACATTGTAGCCCAGTCTCAGTGCCTTAGGATCTCAGTCCCCTTTTACTTCCCTCCACACCACATGGTTTTGAGGATTTTTTATTTTAAAGCCTCTTTTGGGGAGTTGGGAGAGGAGTGAGAAATGTGTTGAATAAACAGATTCCTGCCACTATCAAATGCTGTCTTCATACTTTTTCCTGTTCTGATGTTTTTTCAGACAGTTCGTCAGCGTGTGCAAGTTCCAGGGGGTACAGATAGTGAATGTGCTTTCCTTCCTGAAAAGAGGACACACTGGAGCTGCAGAGACTGTATTCAGAGCACAGTGGGGGCTGCAGACACTCAGGAGCTCTGTCACAAAGCTGTTCGTGGAAGAGGATGTTGGACTTCTTACTTGGTTTGTAATTTTAAAACAAAAACTAAACAAAAAACAAAAAAAGTTGCTGCTAGACTTGGGGGTGATTTTGAAATGGGACAATCTTTTACTGTGAGGAAAAAGCATCTCAGAAAGTGACCATTTCTAAGTGAAATCTGACAGCCAAAATCAGCAGCTTCCTCCAAAAATAGAAGAGCAGAAGAATTTTTTAAGCACTTGTTTTGTTCATTTGTGGACTTGGCATTTTGGTGTATTGGTTTCACATGTCAGGATCTCTTTTGCTTTAAAACCAAGCAGATCATTACAATACAGTATTTTTCACCCATAACCAAAACAACCCCTTTTAAAAGAGTTGGTCTTTGTTTAGCATTAGAAAGTTTTAATAAAGGAAAATGCTAACTCTGCTTTTGCTAGAACTTTCCCCCATCAGTTCACAACTTTTTTCTACTCTGTGCCTTGAGCTTTGTGCACTTTGCAACTGTGTGACCATGTTGTCAAACTCCTCCTGGAGAAGTGTATGGTATCCAAACTCACCCACCCAGATGGCAGGTGTGGCCCTGTAGCAGGATGCTAATTAAGTGGGAAAATAGACACCTGTTGCACATTGGTCAGATTTTCCCCTGGTTCACCAGAGCATATTCATGTTAATGTTGGGGACCAACTCTTATAGAGCATTTCCATTCCCTGTGCCACTTAACACGATGTCACCAGCTGCTGCAGTATTGGCAGTACTCTAGTTTAGGGATGGGCAGTACTTTAGCTCTGAAGTTCCCCTTAGTATTATTGAGAGCTACTTCCTGTAATGCTCTAGGAAGCAGATAGTTATTAAGTCCAAATACACCCAGTGGTGTGGGGTTCCTGATCACTTCATTTTAAATGAGTGAGATAATTACTTAAAGTCTGTCATTTGAACATTATATTTGAGTGTGATAGGGAAGTAGCAGCACTGCTGTCTTAAGGCTCCCTTGTAGCTGTGGCAAAGCTATATTTCTGTTTCTCTACATCCACAGTGCTTTTTAGTCCTTCATAAAAGGTTGTTGTTGTAAGCCCAAGAAAATAGATGCAGCAAGAGAAAAATACTTTTCTTCTCAATTTTGCTTGAATCTTAATTGAGCATAGGCTTCTCTACTAGGCAACATCAGACTAATAGTATTTACCTCTTCAGAGAACTTGAGGGGAAAAGAAACATCCCAGGGATACTGTTGCATGTCTGCTCTGCAGGTTTTTCATAAAGCTGCCTCTGCCAATTCAGTTTGTTATTTTTAGGGGGGAGTGGTGTGAATGGGAGAGTTAGAAGTGAGATATTGGGAGCAAGTAAGTCACCCAATAATAGAAGTCCTTGATTTGCAAAACTGTTATGCAGAGAAGTAAAGATAAAGGTTGTCAGATTTATTTTTTAAAGTACTTAACCAGAGTTGGTGGATTTTGTGGACTTTAATTTGACTCAGTTCACTCTGTGAGCATCCTGGATTGCATTGATGAACACTGAATTACTGTAAGAACGTAGACAGGCTCTCACTATGACCTGGACAGTTTACTACACCGGTAACATTCTAGTATCAAGGAGAATTCCATTCGTCATGGAACATTCACATTTTACTTTTCTCAATGGAATGCTTGCTGCAGGCTTACAAATCACACCTAGAACTGAAGTCTGGTGTTAATGATTTTTCTGAAAGGAATAAAATTGGAATGTTTCTTTAAATGTGGACAATTTCTTCAGTATCCTAATAATATACCCAAATGCTTTTTCTGGGAGAGAGCATTCTTTTACAAAAGAACTTTCCTTATAAAAGCATCACAGTATAATGTGAATTGGCATTAAAATCTTTGGATGCTTTTGCATTATTAAGTTCTTGGAGAAATATTTTATATTTTACTATGTATGTATTAATAAAAGGTGGGCAAAGTCAAGTCTACAAAATTTAGCTTCTCTAAATTTTTGCTCAGTGTCTGCAGCTGGTTATGGGTCAGGGCTTAGTACAACAAAACCTTGCCTGGAAGGCACTCTAGAAAGGTTGTACATAGTCTCCCAGTCTGCATGTCCTGGCTGTTAATCATCTTGGCCCCTTGAGGCACATCGCAGTATGAAGGACCTGTTTAAGTTGAAATAGACTTGGTTATTTATTGGGATTCTTAAAAATTCTGAGTTTGCAATATGAGAGGAAATAAGATTTCCTACCCCTTCCCCTCATTTTATATTGACTATTTGCCAGAAAGTATTTTCTTCTATTTTCTTGTATTTTGCTTTTGAGATGGAGTCTCTCTCTGTCACCCAGGCTGGAGTGCCGTGGTGTGATCTTGGCTCACTGCAACCTCTGCCTCCTGGGTTCAAGTGATTCTCCTGCCTCGGCCTCCTGAGTAGCTGAGATTACAGGCATGTGCCACCACGCCCTTTTGTATTTTTCAGTAGAGATGGGGTTTCACCATGTTGGTCAGGCTGGTCTCAAACTCCTGACCTCAAGTGATCCACCCGCCTCGGCCTCCCAAAGGCTGGGGTTACAGGTGTGAGCCACCGTGCCTGGCCTTTTGTTTTGTATTCTTGCCAGTACAGTATATGGTTTTTCTACCCCAATTACATACTGGCTTTTGTACCAACATCACTAAAGGCCCAGATCATTGAAGATAGAAAACTGTACATGCAGGCTGATTGTCTGGTTAGTCAATGGCCAATTTGTTTAAACTGTCTAGTATGTATGTGCAGCCTGAAACTAGCTCCTTAAAAGGAAAGCCAGGTCAGTCATCTTGAAAAAATGACATGTAAAAGTAAATAGATAATTGTTTTGAGAGACGGTACATATTTTAAAGGTTGGCCTTAAGCTTCAGTAACATTGTCATTTTGTGACCTTTTGTTGTCACAGCTGTACCCTAACCTGACAGGAATTACTAGTGTTTTTTTTGTGGGGCAGAAAGCAAAACCTGGTGTTGTGACTATTATCCTAATAGTTCTTAGGCAAGGTTAGTAAGAAGCAACACAAACCCAGATGCATGCGTTGTGCATTATTTTGTAGACAAGTTACTTTCCTTCTGTCCCTTTAACAAATTTGTAGCAATTACCCTCCCTTTCTTTGGGGTCTAGAGTGAAAGCTAATTTGTGGGTAGATGAGCTTGCAGAAGAATGGATGTCCATGGCTGTGAACACTGCACATCCATCTCCAGTGCTCACACCTGTGCAGCTACCACTCCCTGGCTGCATGCCATGCTGTCGGGTTGCAGATTTGCACACATAAATTCCTCAGGAAGAGTTTGCATGAGCATCACCTCGCAATATTCTGTACTGACCAAACAAGGGATTTGAATGTTTTTCAGCACAAAAGGATGACTTCCGAGTGGTGGTCTGTACACATACTAGCAAAGGTAATGGTGATCTAGCAAACAAAACTGGTTTCTGCAGTTGGAAGTGAGCAGGAGCACTTGTATTATAGTATTTAAATAATCCTGGTTAATCTCTTTTTAAGCAGAGTAACCCTTCCAGATTTTGTCTTTTTATTATTGAGGCTGGCTTTATTTTCTTCTTTTTCCCCCTGTTTTATAGCAGTTAATTATTTTTGTGATTATTATGCAAGAAGGATTGCCCTTGAGTTAAAATGTTATTGTTTCATAAGCAGCTATTAAAATAACTGAGCATTGTTTTATGAAATACACTAATCTGAGATACTGAAAAGCTTTGCAACTAAAAAGCAAAACAACCTACATTAGTCATCTAGCTATTGTTTGGATGTTTTGAGTTGATTTTTTTATGGTGCCTCTTTTAGCTTGGAATATTATGTTTACTTTAATTCAAGTCTAGGCCTTTTAAAGGGTCCTTAAAGTTCGGAATGTCAATCCCTTTGACACCTATTACAGGTTTATAGGACCTTTTTGGTTGTGATTACTGTTTTCAATACAATTGTGTAAATGAAGTTCACTTTTGTCAGAAGTTAAAATGGAGGTCATAGGAGTTCATGGAGAAATAGCTCTCCTATTTCTTTCATTACCCCCATTGAAATTCTCCCCAGTTTCTGGCCACAAGAATATGAGAAAGGAACCCTGTTCTTTTCCAAGGGAAATTATCCTTCTCTGTCCCCACTGTTGATTAACTGAAGTCCCAGACACCTTCCTTCCTCCACTGGCCAAGACCCACCTTGAACCTCTTTTCAGAGCCAAGTGGCATGAATACATGTACTGTTTCTGCTTCTGTTGACGGAGTGGCTATGGGAGTATTAAAGGAAATGCTAATTCGAGCTTCATTCTTAGGGGAACCTACTATATATTGCATCCCTGCTGGTTGGAAATTATCTTCATCTCTGGACTGCATTTAGAAAAATGTTAATGGCATACGATTCTGAGAACTTTATAGTGTGGCTCTGGGGTTAAGAATTCTGTGGTTTGAAAAAAAATAAATATTTTGTATTGATTCTTACATGTCATTTCAATGTTGTGACTATGTACTAAATGCAGTAAGACTGTGGGTGTTCTCTTAGAAGAGTGCGTTTTGTTAAACAGATGGCAGATCACTCTCATTAGTCCTGTTTGTCAATATTACAGCCACGCAATTCAGAATAACTTATTCAAATGGGAAGTCATGGGAAGCTATGGCTAATAACAGGAATGCTTAAGAAAAATTTGGAGGGCAAGCACAGGCAAGAGGCTTTGCCACTCACTAGCACAGCCAGAGCAAGGATAAAGCAATGAAGTCTTGTGCCTAGTGGTGCTTGTTTGTCAGAAGCCATAGTGAGCTCAGCACAGGGCGTTCTGTACATCATCTCATTAATCCAAGAAAAACAGAATGGCGGAGGGAACTCCTACTGACCTGGGATACAAAGCCACTGACTTTGGCTCTTGATCTTTTGGTGGGTTCTGAATCACTCCTGTATTAGGGCGTATACTATCACTCTAAACATTGTGGTGAATGAAATAAATCTTGTACAGATGTCCTTGGCCTTGTTATGTTATGTTATAAATCCTGTACAGATGTCCTTGGCCTTAATACCTGGTTCACTGGAACTTTGTTATAATATAGAACATTTGATTTTGCTTATAGCATATTAATATTGCCTCCTAAGTGACAGCCACACTGAGCACACGTCTGTTACCACAGTTACTTAGCCTGCAGGGTGAGTGTAGATCTTGACTTCTGTAACCAGTGCTAAAAAACAGTGTGTAACAAAATACATATGATCGTATCTATTCTATATTCATATATAGTATGGATACGGATATCAGTATATTTATAATTTTTGTGTTTTAGACCCTAGTTTCTTCTGTGGCCCTTTAACCAACTTTTGGACTTAGGTTGTTTTTTTGTTTGCATTTATTGGTACTATGGTTTTTTAAACCCTTTGTGTTTTCTTGCTGTGAAATTAGTGTCATTCCCTAGGTTATTTGTAACCTTATCTACCATTTGGTTATCACATATGGCAGAATTCAGCGACTCTGACAATTTCCATTTTCACTCCCCTGCCCTACAGTTAAGTAGGGTGCCACTTAACCTCCCTCCCCTTTAGCAGGTTTGTTTTTTACTAAGTACAAACCTTTTCTACTAGAACCAGCTGTGTGTGTGTGTGTGTGAGAATTTTATTTCTTCTTTTGGTCTGTTTCTCAATAATCCAAAATTCTAAAATACCTTGAATATCAAAAAGCATGACAGTAGAATGAATATCACACATAATAGAGCCTGAGAGCAACTAGCTTAACTGGTTGTAATCTTGAGTAGGTTTTTTTTTTATCTGTTTTCCTTTATTAAGCCTTCTCCCTCCCTAAATTGTTAAGCCAGAAGAGCATAATAATTCAAAACTTTCTAGTAATGTACCTACATGTCTAATAGTGTACCTCAAAATATATAAAGAAAAAGTGGCTCACACCTGTAATCCCACCACTTTGAGAGGCTGAGGTGGGAAGATTGCTTGAAGCCAGGATTTGAGACCAGCTTGGGCAACAAAGACCCCATCTCGAAAAAAGAATTTTTAAAATTAGGGCCAGACATGGTGGCTCATGCCCGTAATTCCAGCACTTTAGGAGGCTGAGGTGGGCATATCATTTGAGGTCAGGAGTTCAAGACCAGCCCGGTCAACATGGTGAAACTCCATCTCTACTGAAAATACAAAAATCAGTGGGGCGTGGTGGTGCACGCCTGTAATCGCAGCTACTCGGGAGGCTGAGGCAGGAAAATCGCCCGAACCCGGGAGGCAGAGGTTTCAGTGAGCCGAGATCGCACCATTGCACTCCAGCCTGAGCGACAAGAGTAAAATTATCTGAAGTGCAAAAAAAAAAAAAAAAAAAAAAAAGTTGAGCCTGGCACAGTGGCCCGTAATCTCAGCACTTCGGGAGGCTGAGGCAGGTGGATCACTTGAGGCCAGGAGCTCAAGACCAGCCTGGCTAACATGGAGAAACTCTGTCTCTACTAAAAATAAAAAATAAAAAAAAACTAGCTGGGCATGGTAGCACACACCGGTAGTCCCAGCTGCTCGGGTGACTGAGGCACGAGAATCACTTGAACCCAGGAGGTGAAGGTTGCAGTGGGCTAAGATTGCACCACTGGACTCCAGCCTGGGCAACAGAGTGAGACTGTCAAAAAAAAAAAAAAAGTTGGGCATGGTGGTACCTGTTTTTAGTCCTAGCTACTTGGAAGGCTAAAGTGTGAGGCAGGAGGATTGCTTGAACCCAGGAGTTTGAGGCTGCATTGAGCTATGATGATACCACTGCATTTCAGCTAGGATAACAGAGTGAGACCCTGTCTATAAAAAAATATAAAAAGTTAAAAGAAAAAAAGACTACAAAAAGGAAAAATGAACACAACTACAAGGAGAAATAGATCAATCTACCAGCATAAGGGGCATTTTCAACAGACCCCTCTCAGTAATTAATAGATCTTGCAAAGACCAAATCAGGAAGACTATTAAGGACGTACGAGATTTAAATAGTACAGCTAATCAGTTTGATCTGACAGATAAATACACACACGTGTAAAACATGTTGTACCTTTCAGTAGGAAAATAAACATTTTTTGCAAACCAAATCTAACAGTGTATTCAAAATGTAACAAATGATGACTGAAATGGATTGGTCTCAGGAATATAAGGTTGGTTTTTTAATGTAATTAAGAAATGCTGTTTATAAAAAGTACCTAAGAAATTTTAAAATGAGAAAATGATGAAAAAAACTTAATGGACCTAAATAAATGTAGAGAATATAAGGGATAACACTCAATATTATCTAAATCTCAACTTTTTCTCCAAATTGCAATTCCAAAAAAGTTCCCAGTGATTTTCACTGTGGAACCTGACAAGTTGATTCTTCAATATAAATGGAAGAGCAAAGGGCCAAGGATATCCAAGACCTTTCTGAATGGATTGTGAGGGGTGAACGAGCACTACAAGATTCTAACACTTATGCCAAAGATGGTGATTAAAACAATGACTGGAGTAGGGGAGAATTTCATCAAGATAGAAAATGCAAACTATCAATTAAAAGATAAGTACTTTGGCTACATTGATCATACGTACTTAATACCCAACATCCTGTAGAGTGAAAAGAGAAGCCAAATCTGGAATAAGATATAAATATTGATAATATATACATAACTGCTAAAGAGCACCTGAATGCAAATCAGCAATGAAAACTACTCAGGAGAGACAGACCCCAAACACTAGCAGGCATTTCACAGAAGAAACAGAAATGGCCCATAAATGTAAAAAGATGTTCAGCCTCATTAGACATCAGAAAATGCACATTCAAACCACAGATACCATTTCCTTGCTGACAACTTGGCAGAAATTATGAGAAGTCTGAAAATAACAGTCTGAGAGATTATGACAACAAACCATCTGTTGTTGGCGTGTAAATCTATACTTTGGAGAACAGTATTGTCTAATGAAATTGAACATAGGCATCTCTTATAGCCCACTATTTGTACTTAGAAAAACTCATGTGCATGTGTACCAGGAAACATATGCAGGAATGTTTAAAGCAGCATTATGTGTAATAATTACAGGGAATGAAGGAGGGAGCCAAATGCCCATCTAGCATACAGTGAGTAAGTGAAGTGTATGCTAGATACAAGTGTATGCTAGATAGTGGAATTCTCTAGAGTAGTCAAGGCATCATACCACTGTGGGCTTCAACATGGATGCATCTCAGAAATCATATCGAGTGAAGTCAGAATAGAGCCAGCATGGGTACCTTCAGAATCAGGAAAAACTGTGTTGTTTAGGGAGTCATACACAAGTAGCAAAGCTATAAAGGAAAGACAGTTATGAACATTCAGGAACGTAGTTTCCTCGGGAGGGTGGTGGAGGGGAATGAGAACGGAGGGGAGAACGGGGGCTTGTAAGCGCTTAATACGAACGTTTGGACCATTCCAAACATGCCAGTTCTCTGAGTTAATGTATATTCAGTGCAAAGCCAATTCAGATAACCAACGGTATTTATTTATATAATCTAAAAAACTCATGGAAGTATAAACAGATGAAAATAGGAAAATCCCCACTGAATGTGAAAAAAATGGAAGGAACTTGCTGTACCAAAAAATACATCCCGTTCTAAGTGCAATTAAGTTAAAACAGTTATGCCAGTGTAAAACAAGTCAATGGAAATAGTTTAGAAAACAGAAAATAACTCAAATTTAGAATTTAGAGTACACTAAACGCGGCTTTTTGAAATCATGCTGTGGTCAATTATTTAATGAAAGGTGCTGGTATAATTAGAGAACATTAAACTGATTCCTGTCATACCATTCACCAAGAGAAATTCCAGAATGTGAACTAAAAAAAAATGTTGTAGGCCGGGCGCGGTGGCTCACGCCTGTAATCCCAGCACTTTGGGAGGCCGAGACGAGCAGATCACGAGGTCGGGAGATCGAGACCACCCTGGCTAACACGGTGAAACCCCACTCTACTGAAAATACAAAAATTAGCCAGGCGCGGTGGCGGGCGCCTGTGGTCCTGGCTACTCAGGAGGCTGAGGCAGGAGAATGGCGTGAACCCAGGAGGCGGAGCTTGCAGTGAGTAGAGATCGCACCACTGCATTCCAGCCTGGGCGACAGAGCGACACTCCGTCTCAAAAAAAAAAAAAAAAAAAAAATTTGTTGTAAAAACTAGAAACTTTTTTTTCTTGGGATTGGAGAAGTTTTTTCTAAGGATACAAGCAATGAAACAGAAAACCCTATGTAAACTCACTCACCTGCCTTTAATGCCATAGTGTGCACACCCCAGCGTGTGTGTTTATGTGTATACATAGACATACATATTTTAAAATGTTTAAATTTGAACGTATGTTACTAATACATATAAAACAAAAGTAGAAAATCAAAAAGATGAGGTAAAAATGTTTTGAAATATTGTTTGTGGTATTTGTGGTTAATAAACCTTGACTCTTTCTAAAAAAAAAAAATTTCTTTTAGAGAGAGTCATGATTAAAAATGCTTGTCATTTTTGAAACTCCTAGTTTTAACACTTCATAAAAACGACTTAATGTTCTTAAGGTAAGTTTATTTTGATGCTTGGTTTTAATGACTATTGTAGCTGAATAAGTCACTTCATTAATTTAGATCTGTGGATCCAAATATGGCTGTGCTTACTGAAAATATTTTTGAGTTCCATCCACCAATTTTGCAAAAGTGTTTGTTGAAATTTTTATAATAAATTTTCATCTTTTCCAATGTCAGTAACTTGTTTATGCTGAATAATTAGGAGCGCTGCGTTTTTATTTTTGCTAAAAATGGGTTCAAAACCTGCTGCAACTTATTTTTGAATTTCATTTCCCAAGTTTAAGTGTACACTTTGAAGAGTTTTTATAGGTGACAATTTTTGGCAACACATTTTCATGAATTCTTGCTTGGTCATCATTAGTATTATGTTATCTTTACCTAGAAGGGTCAGGTTAAATCTGTCCATTTAAAAAAATACCTTCTAGATTGCATATTGCTTACAGACACTTG